AGTTCTCTGAATTCCTATTCTTTAGCATTGATGCTGTTAATACAGATAGTCTCAACCTAATGGTAAGAAAAAAATGTTTTAGGAAGGTCCATGGGCTTATCTCTGGGTTTAGAGTCAGGAGAACTAAGTTTATTTTTGGCATGTTATTGCTGGCTTTGCAACATTGAGCAACTTGACATGACTTCTCTGAGTTAAGTTTCCTTATTTCTTCTTCATCAGGATTTTAAAAATAAACTATGGATAATCCTTACTGTCATTAAAATTATGATCTGTACACAGCATATAATTTGCTCTTAGTATCAGCGATATCACTATTTTGCAGCTACTAATTTACTCATAAAGCTATTACCACAACATATTGCTTATAAAATCTATTATAGGTTGCATAGAAGCATAAGAACTGGGATCTATAATCATAGATAAATAGTCATATATATGTAAATTTTTGCGTATTGAGACCCATGCAAATTTGTATGTTATGTTTTACCACATATTTATGCTAAGTATTTTGATAATAGAAATGTTCAATAGTTATATAAGCCAACATTTTACCACATGGTTGATGTATTTGCATTTTTTTGGAATATCAATATTCTGTAATTTTAAGCACATAATTTGATGTTTTCTCCTGTATTGTGTGACTTTATTTTTTTAAGTTATCTGAGCTACAGTACTACAGACATAATAAAGTTCTGAAATGAAAAAAAAAGTTTCCTTATTTCTAAAGGGGAGAAGAACAAGGACCCTAATCTCATTGTTGATAAAGTTTCAAAAGTAACTTGTCAGTTTTACAAAACATTAAATGTGCTGATGTGGCCAGACAAGAGGTAACATAAAGGAGAGAGAGTTTGTTTTGGCTCATGCTTTGAAGATACAATTCATCTGCAAGAAAGAAGTAGTAAAGGCCATGGCACACAGCTGCAGTGATGGAAGTTTTCTCCTGTCTGTCTGAGCCAGTCAGGAAGCAGAGAGAGATGTTCATCTCACTTCCTCCTTTTTTGTTACAGTCCATGAGATGGTATATCACCCACTTTCAGTTTGACAGCTCTAGAAACTTCCTCAGGGACATACCAGAGCTATATTTCCTGGGTGACCCTGAATCCCGTCAAGTTGTCAATGACAATTAACCACCACAGTCTATAGTAGCCAAAAATGGAAAGAAAAAAAAAAAAAACCAATTGGCTGTCAACTGATAAACAGACCAGTGGTACCATATCCACAATGTGGAATTTTACTCAGCAGGACCAAACAATGGGCTGTTCTTGCTCAGAATAAGGTGGATGCAGCCAAACAAATATGACAGACAAATAAACGAGATGAAACCATGCATGCTTTATGATTCTGCTTATATAAAGGTCTAAACAAGCAAACTAACCCCCAGGAACAATGAAAGTATGCTTCCTGGGTACCAAGGGAAAGGCAGCAAGAAGTGGCAGGAGAAAACAACTACAAAGGGACCTGAGGACACTTCTGGGAATGTTGTGAGTGTTTCTACTATATTTATTGCTGCTACATCTTAAAAAGATGTACGTTTTCATATTTTACAGTTTAAATATGTATGATTTAAATACAGAGAATTTTTTTTTTTTTGTTTCTCATTAGTTTTTTGTTTTGTTTTGTTTTCCACTGTGACAAACACCTGACAGAAACTACTTACAGGAAAAGGGTCTCAGTCATGGACTGCTGGTTCATTGTTTCCCAGCTTGTGCAAAGACAGAAAAGTCACAGGAGAGCGTGTAGGGGGGCATATCTGTTCACCCCACAGTGGGAAGGAAGCAGAGAGAGAAAGAGATATGAAAGGGCCAGAGCAATTTAGCCTCCAAAGATGGCCCCCATTTCTCCCAACCAGGTCCTAGCTCCTCAAGTTTCCAAAACTTTTCCAATAGCACTGTCAGCTGGGGACAAGGCTTTAACACCAGAGTCACTGTTTAATATTTAGACCCTAACGACAATGACCTTCCCAACACTCGATGGTCTTTTTCTTTTTCTTTTCTTTTTTTTTTTAGCCTTTTGAATGGGTGTAAAAATATCTCATTCTGATTTGAATTTCTGTTTCCCTGAAAGCAAATTAAATATTTTAAACACCTCTTCATGTGCGTATTTGCTATCAGTATACGTGTTTACATCTTTGATTGCCTATTTTTCTTTTCCTGTTGAGTTTTGAGAGGTTTTTAAATGTTCTTCATGTGAGTCATTTGTGAGATACATGCCTTGCAAATGTATTCTCTCAGCTCGTCTGGAAGCCTCTGAAGTTTATCTTCCATTTTCTTTTAAAAGTCATGTTTTGAGATCTCACACATACATCTATTATCCAGTGTGCGTTGACTTTTGCATATGGAATGCAGCGTGGATCAAAGTTTATTTATTCAGTTTTCCAGAGCCAGTTGTTGAAAAGCTCTCTGGTTTCTCCAAGGAATGGTCCTTCGTCTTTGCCAAGAGCAAGAGATCCATCTAAACTGAAGGCTATTTTGGGATTCCTCATTCCTTCCTACTGACCGGGTTGCATTTGTCTTGACTCTGCAGCATTATCAACTAGAAAATCAGGGTTGTTTACTCTCTGGAACCTCTCTTTTCCCACAGTTCCAACTGTTTCACATCCTTAACACATCTGTCTGCATTTAAGATTCATCTCAGCAATGCCTTTAAAAAACCTCTGTGGAAGTTTTGGTGCTAGCATTTAAGTTGTAGATCAGTTTTTGCTAACTTATCAAAATAGACCCTTCAGTCTGTGGCACTGGTTTATCTGGTCTTGGGCTTTCTTTAATTTCCTTTGGAAATGCTTTTTAACTTTCAATGCAGACATTTTGCATTTCTTTTGTCAACGTTATGTACAAGTTACTATAAAGGTGCTTGGCTTTCATCTCCATTTCTGATGGCTTGTTGCTGGAATAGAGGAATACAATTGATCTTTAAATGTCATGTACCTAGCAACTTTCCAGCCGTTTGCTCCTCCTGGTGCCTTTCAAGATTCTTTCAGATATCCTATGTAAATGGTCAGACTATCTAGAACTAGAGAGTTTCCTTTTCTCACAAGAAGCTATGTTACAAGTTCCTTTTCCAAAACTGCGTTTGCGCATGTTCATGTGTGGACACACCTGCGTGCAGTGTGTACACGTGGAGACCACAAGGCCACCGTGGGGGAGTTCCTCAGGAACTGCCCACTTGCTTACGGATGACAGGTTCTCCTACTGGCCTGGAACTCACCAGCGAGGCTAGGCTGCCTTGCCAGTGAGTGTCAGCATGCCTTGCATGCTCCTGTCTCCACCTCCTCCCCTACACTGGCATTCTGAGCATGTGCCTACATGTATGACTTCTTTACATGGGTTATAGGGGTTGGGCAAACATTTTACCAACCGAGCCGCTTTCCTAGGCTCTCTCTCTCTCTCTCCCCCCTTCCTTTCTTTCTCAGTTTTGTTCTGCCATTCTCTAATGCAGACATGACGTCTCTCCCCACAGATCCGTACAGTGGAGCCGGCCAATCACTGGCGGAGCCTATTGAGTCAATAAGCTGGAACAAACCTTCTCGCCTTTCGACGGTTTCGTCTGTCTACCTCAAGCAAATTCTGACACGGTGCAGGCCCCAGTTTGTGTCTCCGGTGTGTGGTATGTTCACGATACTCTCTGGGTAAGGCCAGTGATTCCTGAACAGCCAGTTGCGGTTTTGATCTTGAGCCAAGGCATTGTCCCACACTGCTATTGCCAGGAGTGTGCCAGAGACCTGACAGCCCAGAGGGCAAGTTACAAGAACTGTCCTTACAGAATCTGGCCTGAAGGTAAAGTGAAATCCCGGCTTGACCACTTCTTCATGTGTTCTTGAACAAATTGCAATGAGGACAACAATTGTGATTTCACACCGTTCTTGTGACAAAGTACGTGGAAGGAAGACCCTCTGGACTGTGCCATCTTGCAGAGCTTCAAAGGCTACTACCAGGAGCGTCACGACCGGGGCTTGTGCGGAAGGGGGTAGGGGTGACACTGTGTCTGTGGCTCTCTCCTAAGCTTTGTATTCTGTGGGTGCCAAAAGCTTCAGACTTTTGGAGTCCTCTTGCCCTTCAAAGATGAATCAGAGGCTCTCTAGTCAGGAGCACACACACAATCCACCACCACCTCGTGGTGTATGTGTGTGTATGTGTGTACATGTATGTGCAAGCCAGAGGTCAGTGTGTGGGACATTTTTCTATATCACCCTCCAATTTGTTATTATTATTATTTTTTTTTGAGTGTGGATCTCACACATTCGGCAAGGGTAGCTGGCTAGTGAGCTCTGAGGACCCTCCTGTCACTGCCTGCCAGCACTAAGAACACGTGTGTGTGCCTCAGTGTCCGGTCTCAGGGCCTGAAAGCGAGGTCATCCTGCCTGTGCGGCAAGCGCTTCAGTGAATGAGCCATTACCACGACCTAGGGAAATCAAGTTCTCTTCACGCTCTGTGTGGGGAGCTTTCAGGATTTCCTCCACGACCCCACTATTCCCTCCTAGAGAAAGACATGGCAAGGAAAGGCAAATGCGTCTGAATTCTTTCAGCCTTAGAATGAGAATGACACTCTCCAGGGGTATCACAGTGTATTTCCCACGCCCCTGGCCTGCTCCTCCCCATCTTACCTCTCCAGAGGAAACCGCTTCCCCTTCACAGCAGCGTCCTATAAGGCAGAGCATACCTCTGCTTCCCAGAGTCCCCCTTGCTCCCTCGAAGTGTAATCATAAACTTTAACATTCACATGTTTTAGTTTTTTAGACTTACACTTAGATGGGAATGCGCTAGCTCAGGCACCTCCCCGCCAACTTTCTAACTTCCAGTGGTAAGTTATTTTGGTGCATCTTATGATATGGCTGGGTGCTGGCAGAGAGTCAGAAAATCCCCTGCCACCAAAAACATGGTAGCAGTCACCGCTCAGAGCGTCCAGCACCTATGTGGATGCCGTAGTTACTCAGGGCCAGGGTTTCCAGGGTCAGTAACACGGGGCTTGTGCTATTATTATGCTTAGGGTAGGGCAGGATGGGGTTAGGCCTGCAGGAGGCTGAGAATCACAGCTGCTGCCTCTTGTAGAAAGTCTGGTTTCCGCAAGTATTCTGCTCAGAAGGAAGGGCAAATCAGAGAAAATTGTGTCATTGGCGCAGAGAGGCTTAATGAGGGCTTTTTTAGACTTTGGAGCATAAGTTCCCTTACAAACTTGGGACCCTCTGTCTGTCATTACATTGGTTCCAAGAGCTCCCATGCTGACGAACAGACAGAAGCTGAGGTGGGGGCAGGACGCACCTCAGCAGAGGACGGACTTGCTCTGCAGGATTAGGCTCTTGTCTAGGGTCCATATCTTCTCCAGTTCTGCATATAGTTGAAAAAAATTTTATATCTCCCATAGATCAAATCCACTCAAATTGTAAGGGCCACAACTCAGTTAATTTCCTTAAGACAGCCAGCAGACCCTTCCCCATCTTGACCATTTTCCTCTATACTTACTCTAATGTATCAATGTTTCATGGAAAATGTGCCCTCTCTCTGCAGTTCAGACCTTACATCAACGCCCGAGAAACTGCCTGTCATGTGAGAGAGGAGAGGGCCATAATAAAAAGGGTCATCCTAAAGCAATGTAGGCACATCTTCCTGGGGTAATGGATGGCTGTGCTATCACCCGGCTGAAGCTTTTATTATGATAATCACATTGAAAGTGTTTTACATGCTAGAAGGTGCGCATCCGCACAGAGATGACCCCTCGTTCTCATGGGACCCAAGATAGGTTCTTTGGTCATCCCTGCCCTCATGGCTGAGAACAACGGGATACTAGCATTAGAGAGCAAGGGACTTGCCGTGCAGCTGACCAAATGCTCACCCAATGCTAAGAATGAGGACAGGCCTTCCAACCGTGCCATCACTTCTCGGAATACACCCTCCTCTTCATGAGCCCTGCAAGGAGACCTGAAGACAGAGAGAATTTAGTAATGTCACGCTCTCAAGGGTATTGTCAGCCAGAAAACAAAATCCTCCAGATGCTAATTTTACCTTAAACCAAAATGATTACTTTTCCCGATGTTAGTCCTTTTTAGGAGCTGCATGGAAGTTACAACAATGCAGGGAAAAAGAGTGCAGGGGTTCAGAAGCAAAGACAATTAACTGGGGTGCTCCCGCACAAAGAGCCACCATGGCTGCCTGGATCTTGCTGGAATCCCTTCTTTCTCTAGAGTTGCTGGGGACAGGCATTTGCTAGGGAGGCCTGCCCTCTGCTGGGATCATGAAACATTACAGGCCAGTTTTCAAAGTTTGCCTAACCTGGATCTCAGGTATGACTGTAGTTACTGCTAAGTTTTGGGCAAAACAAAACTTTTCCACGCATTTTCTCCATATTTTTTATTCCTCTTGTATAAATAGTTATGTGCATTTCATGTATTTTCTGATTATATCTATTCCCCAAGCATTAAGAAATAGAAAAACAAAACATAAAAAGGTTAGAAATCCCAAAGAAGTGACAGAAATAATGGTAAATATTGTAACAGATAACATACTGTGACCCAACAAAAATTCAAATAAACTGAATGACCCTCTCCTGTCACCTCATCCCCCATAGCTTTTCCTGAACTGCTTTGCTTATCAAATTAGCCACAGCTGAGTGGACCAGAAATTGTCAACTACGGCATGTTCGTTAGATTCTTTTGATAGCAAACTTGACCTCATCAATTCCTGCTGGCTATTTGAATGGAGGTTACATAAACACAGGATCCAGGGAAGAAGGTCACCCAGTCATGTGCGTGGAGAGAGAAGATAAGAGGAACAGGAGAAAGAGGGGGGGAGGGCAAGGGTTTGCATAGATACAGACAAGAGTCAAATTTCTTGTCCACAGTTATAATCTCTCCCTATGCCTGTCTAATCTAATTTAGTTTACAAAATGCTTTTCCACATTAAAGCATATGAACCATATGAACAAGGACATGGAAAAATGAACTGGATCTAGTTTAAAAGGAATAAAGTTCTAGTTAATATGGTACACTGAATGATGTTCAAAAATTTTATTGTTTTCTACTGCATTTAGGCTCAAAGAAGGAACGAGTGAAAAGAACCAAGGTAATTTTGGGAACATTGCTAAGCCAACATCTCCAATGCCAGCTGTTATGGTGGAGTTCATCTCCAGGAGCCTGGATCTAGAGGGCAGCAGTCATGGGCAGCTAGAGAAGGCAGTGGCCACATGGATTTCAGTTACTGGGATTGTTGAATGCTAGCATCAGCTCAATGCTTTTCATACTGAGAAAAAGCTAATGGAGGAACACTCTGAACAATTGCCAAGTATCAGAGATTCTAGTGTGACTTAAAGCAGTCAGGATTGAAAGAAAAAAAAAAGGAACGACTGGAAATATTCCTTTTTCCACAAACTTTCCCCATAGCTTTGGGACAAGTACCTTTGCATAAGTATCCCAGTGTACCTCATAAGCTATACTTGTACTTTTAACCCCCACCCCACTCCCAATTAGCTGTGCTTCTAGCACAGGAACAATGCCACATCACAGAAAGGACCAAGATAGAGTTTGGGGGAACCATTTAGCATTTATCATTAATCAAGACACAGCGGCATGTGTTTGGCACTGGTGAAAATAATGACAAACTAGAGTGTCTGTCCTCAGAAGCCAGCAGGTCAGGCGCTCACCATTAACTAGCCTGAGAACTGAAGGGAGCATGAAAATGGAGTGTGTTCCTAACCCTCAAGCATCATAATAACTTCTGGGCATTTTGTAGAGATGACTTTGGGTTATAATAAGTACTAGTCTAGGAGAATGAAAGGCAGGGGTGAGAACATGCAGAAAATTGTAGGGGATAGGAAGCTGTTATCTCAGAGCTGGCTTGTGCCTGTGAGGACTGTTTTTAAACATGGAATGGTTATTACACCCGCCACAGCAGCTCCTTCCTGAAGTACCCAGACTGTCGTGTCTCACGGAAAAAGGAGAAAAGAAAGGATGCGATTTGTTCAGAACCCTGCAAGCGGCTAGCGTTCCTTCAGACATCTCATCTGTACGCATTACAGTGCAATGGGCAACGTGGGATGGGAGCACTAAAATAGGAATTGAACCACCAAGACCTGGAGTCGAAGAAAAAAGCTGCCAAGACGGGCAAGAATAAGGCTTCAGAGACAAATAAAACCATCAGCTTCAGCATGGCAAAGAGGACAACAGCCACAGAACTGGTTCAGTGTAGGAAGTAGGAATCAAGAACCAGGATATCAACAGGATGTGTCTCCAGAGGCCCCATTTCCTGATCCGAGGCATCCGTAGTCTCAAGTTACCAGGCTGTTTCCTCCCAGACTGGAGATGTTTCAGTTTCCTCCCAGACTGCTAAGATGTTACCTCTGGTAGTGAGTCGTTACAAAGGCCCGGGAATAGAATGAAACAGACGGACACATCCTTATACTTGTGTCATACTGTTGCTCCTACCTCACATCCAGAAGTTTCCTAAGAGGAACATTAGTTTGTGTCACAGAGGTTGACTGTTACACAGTTAACCTACACCTGGACTACATTTCCCAGCCTTCCCTGGGTCAGGAACAAGCATGCAAATAAGCTCTGCTTGATTAAATGAAGGCGGAAGTGCTAGATTCACTTCCAGACTTGATCTGTACAGACCGCTCCCACCCCATTCAACATCTTTCATGATCTTTCCACAGGTATTAAAGATGGAGATGGCACTAGATGGAAGGCAAATGGATCATAAGGGACTTAAAAGAGCTGCGAGTCAATCCAGAACAAGAGTTTTTTTAAGTGTGAGGTGATGTTTCAGTTCTGTGTTCCTGCTGAATGATTACAAATTTAGCCTGTGCTAAAACAATTTGTCATAGTCTCCGCTAGTGCTACAGATTGATCTGGATGGTTCTAACTTGGGCTGCCTCATAGACTTGCAGTCGGATGTGAGCATATCTCTTTTAATTCTTGACTCACTGCCCAGATCCTCTCCTGGCTCCAGAGAAATTCATGGACCTGGAGTAGATGGCTTCATCAGTAAAATGCTTACTGCAGAAGCTGGAGGACCTGAGTTTGGTTCTTCATCCACACATGCATGTTTTTGTCCCCAGCGTTGGACATATAGAGACAGGAGGACCCCTGGGGTTTCCTGGGCACACTATTTTACTAGATTAGTGAGGTCCTATAAGGTGGCAAACATCCCGGTGACATCTGAAGTCATCCCCTGTCTTACACACACACACACACACACACACACACACACACACACACACACACACAC